CTGAACAACACGTCTGTGCATATAAGTCATTCATAACAGAACATAATCTAACTTAAGCTAAGTCTGACTAGTTTTAAAACAGAACATTACCTGTCTAACAGTAATACTTCAGCCATGGTGTCGTCCTTCCTCCAACGTGCTAAAGTAACTCCAATACTGATTCAGGATTTTCAAAAGTTTCAATCCAGCATTTGATTTCACCGGGTCTGTGATTGTCTTGTGAATGCGCGGCGCTCACGCAGGCATGAACAGAGATGCACAGAAGTTTGAATCTACATTTGCTGACAGACAGTCTGAGCTGCTTATCGGAATTATGGTAGATGTCGTCCCGACAAAATTTAATTGGATGAACATTTTTTAGTTTTATGCTTTAACCAGAATATAAAAATACATATATACACATTTAGATAATTTACTGTAATCATTACTATTGGACTCTGAAGAGACTTTCAACCAGTACAACAACAAATGTTTCTGAAGACCTTTAATGCGGAAATAGATGCACCTAAATCTTTTAAGAATTTTAAATATTTCAAAAATTTGAATAAAATTTTTTATTCTTTCAAAAATCTTAAAATCTTATATATATATATATATATATATATATATATATATATATATATATATATATATAAACAGATCAGATAAAAAAATGTCTTGATGTTGAAAATATGCACTTAATTTTTTTGGGACTTTTAAAAATAATTATTTCAAAAATGTTTAATCTTAAAATATTTAAGTTTTTATAAACAGGTCAGATTAAAATGATTAAAATGTCTTAATGTTTAAAATATGCACTTTATATTTTAGTGAATTTTAAATTATTATTTAAAAATGTTAAATATAAATTTTTTAAAATGTTAAATCAAAAAAAATGTTTTATAAAATATAAATATGTAGTTATATGAACACAGATCAGATTTTAAAAAATATACTCTTAATATTTTAATTATTTTTTATTTATTTGTTTTTTTTTGTAAAATTTTAAAATTATTTTATGTAAACAGACCAGATTAAAAATGTCTTAATGTTAGAAATATGCACTTAATATTTTTTTTTAGATTAAAAAAATTCTTTCAAAAATGTTTAAAAATGTTAAATCTTAAAATCTTTTATTTTACATAAAGAGATCAGATAAAAAAAAGTACTCTAAATGTGATTCAATCAGTGGACATTAAAATATGTTGTTAAATTACTGAAATATTAACACAATTGACTGAAAATTTTATGATGGATGCTCGCTTCAAATGAACAAACATTAATAAACAGGACTTTCAGGTTTCTAAATATTTATCAGTTATATTTAGGCAAATGTTTTGAACGTTGCATACCTGTATTATAGATGACAAAACCACACTGGACAAACAAATGCATATGTTTAAGTGTTTTTAGCAGACTTGCTAATTCTCAACACCTGTTCACAGGAGGCCTGACAAAATGAAAATATAATAAATACAAATACACAACATTATACTTCTTTACATAAAATTACTGAAGGCAAAAGCAAAGGCGGCATGATCAAACAAACTAATAGTAGACTATATTTGTAATCATGTGGACTAATTACATTATCTAAAAAGAGTACTGTAAAAGACTACTTTAGTAACATTTTCACATTACATTTAGACATAAGACTGCATTAGATCAGATCCATATAGCTGCCTATTAAAGGTGGTTCTTTTTTCTCAAAAATTGGACCTTTTTGCAGTTATTCGCCTCATATTCAATAAAATTAAGAGGTTCAAATACTGCATTTCAGTGACATTTTAAGCACTAATGTTATCTGGATTAGCTTGTCGGATGGTTATCATTATCACGCTTTTTGATGCAACAAAAATACTTTCCTACATTTTTGTCAAAGTGCTTACCGTACTATTTTGTTTACAACAATGTATGTTTATTTACAAATGTGAATTTAAAATGTAAGTTATTACAGTTTTATAAATAATGTAATGAGATTAGAATTTTAGAAATATAAAAAAAAACGCAAATTTTTTATCATCCCTCATAAAAATCCCTATTAGGAATCTGTTAAAACTTGTTTTAAATTTTAAAAATGTAGCCTACAATATAGGCAAATAACAAATTGGCCAGCTCATTTCCTAAGTCAGAATTTGTCTATTGAAATAATAATTCAGAAATTTGTCTTAAAGCCTTCTTCGAATGGTTATTTTTACAATTTATGATGGCATATTTTCAAAAACTTTTCAAACCACTACCATATAAACATATGCAGAAATGATATGTGACATAACACATTTTTAAAACGATATTAAAACATCTTAAAAGTACCATATTTACTGTTTCGTCGGTCTGAAGTTTCATCAAGCACCAGCAGGGGGCGACCTGCAATCAAAACTTCAAGCCATTTCCTTTTATTGAAATCTTTATTAACAACCAGTCCGTCATTTATTTATTAGTTTTTACAAAATGAAAGGGGAGCTATACCTGAACAGTCACATTCAAGCACCATGTTTACACACACAGATTTTATCCCATTCCTCCAGCGGACAAACTATGTAAAAAATGCTGGCTTACAAAATAGCCAATTACATCAATAGATAAAACGCCTGATAACAGCTTTATAGAAGGTTTCTCTCAGTACGGTTTCACAATGGCGGCTGTCACAATCTCTCTCGAAGAAAAAAAAAATACGAGTGTTTCACAAGTCTCTGTAAATGTTCAGTAAATCCTACAGACTGAAGTTGTTCCATGATAACGTTAGCAATGCTATTTGTATGTAAAATACCAAAAATATGAAGTGAAAAAGTTATTTACACACACAAAAACAAACCAAAACATGATATAATCGTATGACGAGACATATGGACGGTTAACCTTAGGGTGAAACCTGAGGTAAATTCTCTTAAAGTCTCTGTGTTTTTGGTTCTGGATTATATCACTCAGCTGACTCAATTCTAACAGGAATATTCCAAAGGGAAAACATTCACATTTTATACAGTATCAGGTATAAAACATTTTGCTACATCCTGTACATATTTTGCCTCCTTTACATTATCAGGCTGAATGTCATTTCTTAAATATATTATAGTCTCTGTACAGCTCTAATTTTTGTAATTCTCTATCATCAGAATTCTGAACAATGAAATACTTTCCTGTGGATACTTAATTGAAATACTTAGCCATAAAAAATAGTGCTAATAATCTATTTCATTTCTTTCACTAGTAGATTCACTACATTCTATCAATCAATATTTCCAAAAATAGAGTTGCTTTTCCTCTTTTCGCTCTTAAATGTTGATTTAAATGTTAAATTTCACAGTTGATTATCAGTTCCTGTATGGCTGTTGGATGGGGGAATATAAAATATGTATATAATGTTCACAGAATGTTCATATGGGTGATTCTACAATTGGAGATACATTTAACATAAAACAAAATTAGGGACAAAAACTAAATAAAAATGTAAATTTTCTAAAATATATTCTTTCAGGTTTCCATATTGGGAACATTTTATTAGTTTAAATTAAACAATTGTAATTATTCAGTGAGTTACTTTACAGTATTATGTCAACTCTGTTACATTTAAAAACATTTTGGAAAAATTAAACTGACTATTTCAGACAGGAAATCATAATTTCCATGTATATAATTATATTTTTTGCACAAAATATGTTTTGGCCTATTATCTGAGCAATGATAATCCTTCATTAATTTTCCTTCGGTTTAGTCCCTTTATTCATCAGGTGTCGCCACGGCAGAATGAACCGCCAACTTATCCAGCATTTGTTTTACACAACGGATGCCCTTCCAGCTACAATCCAGTAGAGGGAAATGAGCCATGACAATAAATGACCGATTAATAAAATTATTAATATATAACCAATTAATTATAATCATTTTTTATGATTATTTATTGATTGATTGATTTTTTAATTATTTATTCATTCATTTTCGTCAACTTTTCAGGGGCCGGGTCACGGGGGAAACAGTCTTAAGAAAGAACCCCAGACTTCTCTCTCCCCAAACACTTTCTCCAGCTCCTCTGGAGGGGTCCCGAGGCATTCCTAGGCCAGCCGAGAGACATAGTCCCTCCAGCGTGTCCTGGGTCTTCCCCAAAGCCTCCTCCTGATTGGAGATGCCTGAAACACTGTAATCTGAATAACATCACCTGCGAATAACATGAAATCCTGTGGTAGCCGAATCGGACCCCATCCAGCACAAGGCTGCTCTTTGAAATTCTCTCCATAAAAACTATGGACAGCATTGATGACAAAGGGCAGCTCTGCTGGAGCCCAACATGCACTGGAAACAAGTCTGACTTATTGCCGGCAATGTGAACCTGACTCCTACTCTGTTCATACAGGGAAGAGACAGCCCTTTACAGAGCGGCTCTGACCCCATACTCCCTGAGCACCCTCCACAGAATGCCACGAGGGACACGGTCAAATGCCTCCAAAGCTTATGTAGACTGGTTGTGCATACTCCCATGAACCCTCGAGCACCCTGGTGAGGGTATAGAGCTGGTCTGGTGTACCATGATCTGAAAAAAAAACCTTAATAACTTCAATAAATATTACTTAATAAATTTACTAATTGACAAACAGGTCACTTACTTTACAGAACGATATCAACTCTGTAACTTTAGAGGAGAAGTCAAATCAAACATTTTTAGTGCACAATAATATATAATAGATAAAACACTGACAAATTCAGACAATAATAAATCCAGATTTTCAGCTATATGATCGTTTTTTACAAGAATTATATTGCTAATAATAATGATAATTAATAACCAATTATTAAAATAGTAAAATACAGCCATTTAATTACAAATATTATTACTTTTTAAAATATATATTTAATTAATAATTATTTATTAATTAATCATTCATTCATTTTCTTTTCGGCTTAGTCCCTTTATTAACCAGGGGTTGCCACAGCAGAATGACCCGCCAACTTATCCAGCATATGTTTTATGCAGCGGATGCCCTTCCAGCCGCAACACAACACTGGGAAACACCCATACACTCTTGCATTCACGCTGTGACGACCCCGGATTAATAAAGGGACTAAGCCGACAAGCAAATGAATGAATGATTGAATTTTAATAAACCAAGAAATTCGGTTAATTTTGTTACATTATACACTCTCAGAAATAAAGGTGCACGAGCTGTCACTGAGGTGGTACCTTTTCAAAAGGTACACATTTGAACTTAAAGGGTCCATATTGGTACCTTAAAAGTGTACATTAGTACCTAAAAATTTTAAAAGGAACAATTTTTTTTGGTACTAATATGTACCTTTGAGGTATTGATATGGACCTTTAAGGAAAAGATGTGGAAAAGATACCGCTTCAGTGACAGCTCATAGCAGTAAATACAAATATGTAAATTCATAATATTGTGATTATGCAATAATACACGATGAAAAATAAACTAAATTGAACAATAATAAATCATGATTTTCTTTTTTTTTACAGAACATATATTGCTAAGGGTCTGTAACATCTTCTGATTTATGATAATAAGTGAGCCATTATTACAAAAATACATGTTTGGAAAATTATTTGTTAAAAGCTGAAAGAAATAATGACTCCGGACACTAAAAGTACAGTACCTGCAATTGTAGAATCACCCATACATCAACATCTTTCATTAGTTAATGTTAGTTAATGTATTTTTTACACAAACTAATAACAAACAATACATTTATTAATGCATTTATGCTTAATTGATTGATGATTAATAATGCATTTATTAATCATAGTTCAACATTTACTAATGTATTAGTAAAATCCAAACTCCTAACACCCGATACACTGAGTTAACTTTAATTCCATTATTTAACGTTAACTAAAATGAATAAATGCTGTATTGTTCATTGTTGGTTTGTGTAAGTAAACACAGTTCAGAATTAAAACACCTCCCCAAAGGCAAGGGAAGATTGAGACGTGGACATGGAGCGCTCTCACCTAAACACAGTAATGTGGACGAGACGAGTGGCTATTGCTGTGTGGTCAGAGGGACTCTAGACCTGCGTGGAGTATGATCTGGTGAGTGAAGGTCGAGGACGAACACATGTCCAGGACTCTGAAGAACCGTCTAGACTGCGCTGGAGATGGAGCGACGCGAGTGGATGAGCACATCTGGAGGGACGGGGGCCAGGTATGGCTGATGGTCATGTGATGCCTGTGTATAAAACCCCTGGAACCTGCTGAGGACACAAAACACAGAGTTTCTGAAAGGGTGAAAGAAAAGCAGAGCACTGGGTCAAGGGGATGCTTTAGTTTTGAGGGATGCAGCGCTTGTTTAGAATCTCAGTCATTCAAGGTTACTATATACTGTCAGAATTATTAGCCCCTCTGAATATTTTCTTCCCCAATTCCTGGAATGTTCACTTATAGGTTGTCTTAAGCTGTTTCAACAATAATAATAAAACTTCCTGCAATGTTCTGGGAAGCTTAGTTTGTAATTTCTGGAAAAAGCAAACAGAAAATGTTCACTAAAACAAAAACAATAGTCAAGCTCAAACAGGCTGCAAATCAGGAAAACACATATTTATCAGTTTGACAACATACTGTAAACATGGAGCCAGATCAGTCTCAATTATAATACCTCTACAGTTATAATATTTATTCTTTCATCCATTCATTTTCTTTTCGGCTTAGTCCCTTTATTAATCCAGGGTCGCCACAGCGGAATGAACCGCCAACTTATCCAGCACATGTTTTACACAGAAGAAGCTCGTCCAGCTGCAACACATCTCTGGGAAACATCATTATATTCATAATTTAGATTTTTTCCCTTCACTCTGACAAGATTGTTGTCTTTTAAGTTTAGTAATTTAATCAGAATAATATAGGCTGATAACAATTTAATAAGTGACTTCTATAGAATGGCAACGCAGTGGTGCAGTAGGTAGTGCTGTCGCCTTACAGCAAGAAGGTTGTTGGTTCGAGCCTCGGCTGGGTCAGTTGGCGTTTCTGTGTGGAGTTTGTATGTTCTCTCAGTGTTTGCGTGAATTTCCTCTGGGTGCTCCGGTGTCCCCCACAGTCCAAAGACATGCAGTACAGGTGAATTAGGTAGGCTAAATTGTCCTTAGTGTATAGGTGTGTGTATGGATGATTCCCAGAAAATTTTATTTGGTTTGTTGTTTATTTAGTTAGTTGGTTATTTATTTATATGTTTTTTTTGTTTGTTTATTTATATATATATATTTATTTTTTTATCTATTTAGTTTGTGGTTAGGAAGTTTATTTATTTAATTTATTTATTTGGTTTGCTATTTATTTATTTATTTAGTTGGTTTATATATATATATATATATATATATATATATATGCAGTTAGGCTGTTGTTTATTTATTTAGTTTGTTGTTTAGTTAGTTAGTAAGTTTGTTACTTATTTAATTATTTATTTGGTTTCTTATTTATTTAGTTTATTATTTGTTTATTTATTTATTTGGTTTGTATGTTTTTTAATGATTTTTAGCTGGTTTATTTATCTATTTAGTTTATGGTTTAGTTAGTTAGTTGGTTTGCTTATTTATTCATTTAGTTAGTTTGTTGTTTAGTTTGTTGTATAGTTAGTTATTTCCTATTGATCACTGATCACTATTCTTAAATGTATTTATGTAAGATGAATATGTGTGCACATTTGGGAAATATTTTTGCTTTTTACTTTTGAATTGATGAATTGTGTATTAAATTTACTAACTCTGTTGTGCATTTATGAATTTTATGAATGCAAATGTATTATTATTGAGACTGATCTGGCTCCATAGTAAATACACACAAATTCTCACAACACATGCATATCAAGAAACATATTATAAACAGAGCTATTTGCAGGGTGAACTCGAAACTCACAAGTAGTGGCGGCTCTGTAGACAAGTGAAACAGTGACAACCTCAAAAACACCTAACTCAACTGTATAGTACATAATATCCTCATATCAGTTATCACATTCTAGATATATAACTCAATTTTTCACAGTTTAAAAAAACCTTATATATGGGATTTAGACTTCATTCAGCTGAATACATACAGTTGATGGCAAAATTATCAGCCCTCCTGTGAAATTTGTATTCTTTTTTAAATATTTCCCAAATGCTGTTTAACAGAACAAGGAATTTTTTTCCAATAATATATTTTTCGTTTGAAGAAAGTCTTGTTTCCTTTAGTTTGGCTAGTATAAAAGCAGTTTTTGAAAATTTTATAACAATTTTTAAGGTCAATATTATTAGCAACTGGCTACAGAACAAACTTCTGTTGTCCAATGAACTGCCAAATTACCCTAACTTGCCTAGATAACCTAATTAACCTAGGCAAGTTAGGCTAATCATGGCTAAGTAATTCGTAGGAATGCTTTATTAAAAAAAATGATATGTTTAGAAATGTGTTGAAAAAAATTCTCAATTAGCACTTCAACTTTAACAGTAGGCTAAACATTTTGACTTCATCTGTATGTTTATTATAATTATGCATCAGAGTTAGCCGTTAGCACTCCACCCCTCCCCATCCTGGTATCCTTCTACCCGTCTCCCCTTACCTGAGGGCCACTTAACTTTTCGAGTGGACTCTCCACGCAGGGCATGGCCACCATGGGCATGTTGAGCGAGGGCTCGGGCCGCGGCGGTGGTGGCGGCAGCACAGGTGGAGGTAAACGTGGCACATGAGACTGAGTCTGCTGGAAGTTATTGATCACACAGGTGACCTGCAGGTCAATGGAGAAGAGTGTTAATAATTCATGATTAATGATAAACTTTGACATTTTGTCCATATGATGTACTTAATCAAGCCTGATGATTCAAATTCTGACTTTAAGTTTCTTTTATTCAACCAGTAATTTTTTTTAGACCGGAAATGACACAGGCTTCTGTCAAAAGATAATAAGAGGATGTACAAGAGGCATCATTGTATAAAAAAAAAATTCTCATCTTTTATTTACATTTGAACAAAAACTTTAAGTCAGAATTTGCCAGGGGTATGAATCACTTGTCTGTATATTGGCATATTGCACAGCCCCAGCCTGGACTTGATTTAAGAGGATGAAGGATGGAGTGTAAAGCCAGTGGATTAGCTGCAGACTCACTAAGCACCTGAGGACTAGTATTAGCTGTTAAACAGGTATGTGTGACCTGTTTCACCCTCTGACGTGGCGTGAGACTTTGGCTGAGGCCCAATTTACTCTCTGTTTGTTTTAAATATAATACGCAGGAATAACAGGTAAAAATTCTGTCTTTTATTTGATGAATGTTTTATATAATATAAATTTTATTTATTATATTTATATAATATACAGTTGAAGTCACAATTATTCGCCCTCCTGTAATTTTCTTTTTCAAATATTCTCCAAATTATGTTTAACAGAGCAAGGACATTTTCACAGAATCCCCTATAATGTTTTTTCTTCTGGAGAAAGTTTTATTGGTTTTATTTTGGCTAGAATAAAAGCATTTTTTTTTAAACTCCATTTTAAGGTCAATATTATTAGCCCCCCTTAAGCAAAATTTTACTATAACTATCGTTATGCAATGATTTGCCTAATTACTCTTATTTGCCTAGTTTAGTTAAGCCTTTAAATGTCACTTTAAGCTGAATACAAGTATCTTAAAAAAAAAAAAACTAATCAAATATTGTATTTTGTCATCATGGCAGAGATAACAAATTAGTTAATAGAAATGAGTTATTAAAACTATTATGTTTATAAATGTGTTAAAAAACCTCTTGTCGTTAAACAGAAATTGGGGAAAAATATACAGGGGGCTTATAATTTCATGTTTTCTATTTTGCATACAATGAATATTTTATCATTTAATCTAAAAACTGACTAACTATTTAAATATTTTTAGTTTAAAGTCAATCTTATCGTGTCGAATTTACAGCAATTAAATATGTTACTGTTATATATTCATAAGAAAGTGATGTAGATGATTAAATTGTGTAAATCCAACACAATTGTTTTTTTGTTCTCCCAACACATTTGCTGGAATTCAGTTTTATATTATGTGCATGTTTTTTCTCTTTAAAATAAATCTGTGTAATTAATATTACATTAAAACAAACTAATGCTGGTTGACAATTAATCACGACTAAAATCCAAAATCATTTGTTTTCACATAATATATACTGTATGTGCATATTCTTTATATTATCGTGCATATATGAATACACACACACACAAACAAAGCTATACATAACGAATATTTATGAATGTATTGTATACATACTTACTTACTTCCAGAGCCATTATTTTGAAGTTGATATTTAGCCAGCTGCACCATATTGGTGTTTCGTAACATCTAGTTTTTATGTTTTTAGCCTAACGCTCAAGCCCCAAACCTAGAGGACCAGGACATACACACATACAGATAATGTAGCTTACCCAATTCACCTATACCACATGTCTTTGGACTGGGGTGTTGTATACATACAGTATATATTTTATTGAATATTATTTTATTTCTCATATATATGCACACGTATGAGTATTTTTATTTGTATAATAAACAAATAAATAAACCAACACAGTACACACAGATATATTATCCGAATAAAAAATTGCTGATTTGATTAATCATTGCCCAGCAGTAAAATAAACATTAATTGTTATCAAATTTTAGGGGTTGGACCAGTTATCAAATTATATTTATGGCTCACTGATTTTGCAGAAATATAAACCTTGTAGTACAAGGCCTTACAATCATACTGCATGCTCAAAATAATAATAATAATAATAATAATAATAATAATAATAATAATAATAATAATAATAATAGTAGAAGTAATAATAATAATAATAATAATAATAATAATAATAGCAATAATAATAATAACAAAAACAATAATAATAATCATATAAATAATAACAATAATAATAGTAGTAATAATAATAATAGTAATAATAATAACAAAAATAATAGTAGTAGTAAAAATAATAATAGTAATAGTAATAATGATAATAGTAATAATAGTAACAATAATAATAGTAGTAGTAAAAATAATAATAGTAATAGTAATAATAATAATAGTAATAATAATAACAATAATAATAGTAGTAATAATAATAATAATAATAAATAATAATAATATTAATAAATATATATCTAAAAATAATAATATTATTTTCAAGAGATGGGTTGCGGCTGGAAGGGCATCCGCTGTGTAAAACATGTGCTGAATAAGCTGGTGGTTCATTCTGCTGTGGCGACCCCAGATTAATAAAGGGACTAAGTCGAAAAGAAAATAAATGAATAATAATAATAATAATAATAATAATAATAATAATAATAACAACAACAACATCAACAACAATAACAACATCAACAACAATAACATCAACAACAATAATAACAATAATAATAATAATAATAATAATAATAATAATAAATGTTTTTACAATTATGAACAATTTATTTCAACTGTACATTTTTTATGAATTTTCCACTACAGCACGATGCTATATTACAGCACATACTGTAGTGGCTATGGCATAAGCACAGTATGTGCTAATATGAGATCCTCACCAGAAAAGCAGCGATGGCTCCTCCAGTCAGATATCCAGCTAACACATCAGACCAGTGGTTGCGATATTCAGCCACCCGCACGATGCCCACCAAAACAGCCAATGAGAGCAGAGTCAGGCAGAGAGTGGGTTTGGTCAGTCGTGTGCCTTTAGTCCTCCAGACCAGAGTCACATACATCTGCAGAGAAATACACACAGTAGTATGCATGAGTGCTGTACTGAATATACAGTTGAAGTCACCCCCCTTTGAATTGTTTTCTTTTTAAATATTTTCCAAATGATGTTTAACAGAGCAGGGAAATTTTCACAGTATGTCTGATAATATTTTTTCTTTTGGAGAAAGTCTTATTTGTTTTATTTTGGCTAGAATAAAAGTAGTTTTTCAAACTTTTTAAACACACTACTTTTGAGAAAGTAATCAAATGGTTTGTTACAACATTAAAATCCATCCTTGCAAAGGTGAAATAAATAATGACGGAGAAGTCAAAAAATTTTTTTGATTGTTCATTCATTGCATATTACGGTATTTTTATTGGTGTGTTGGCCAATTTAAAGGCTAAGTGTATGTACCTAGGGCTATTTAGAGTGCTGAGATGTTCTGATGTTACAGGTCACTTATTTTTTATTTCTTTGTTCCAACTTCCTAGTGGCCTTTAACCTACGTTTTGTAAGAGGCTAAATTATTATATGCATTTGTTTATAAGGCAAAGCATGTTTTTTTGACTCAAGATGATTGTGGATGATTGTGAAATTTGCACCTCACAACATTTGTGAGGTGCAAATGTTTCTCTGTGTCGAGTTTTTTCGCTGGTATTTTGTTTTTTCTGAACGCTTCCTAAATGTACAAGTGGCTCAAACTCGCTCATTTTGAGGCAGGAACTGGCGGACGTGCAACAATTTTAACTATGAGGTTAACACAAAACAAAACTTTGCATCCGGAGCTCCTTCACGGGACTCCACACTTGTAAACAATCGCTCCTCTCGGTGCCGCCCAGACTCGTCAGCACCACCAAGCCGACCAATACCAGAGCTTGCGCTACGCGTCAGTGCGACGTGTAGTTACATTTTTTGAGAGGTGCAAGTCAGCTACGCCGACGGCCACGGCGTAGGGCTATGCGTCAAAACCCAGGCTGTGCCGTAGCATACGCGTGCGCTTGACGCAGAAGTATAAATCAGCCTGTAGTTAGGCAGAAACCCAGTTCGAACCGCTGTGGTTTAAAACCCATTCTTACAGTTTGTTATAAATAAATAATGTTAAAACACATTTAAACGACTTATTTACGAAAAAGGCAAAAGAGCTGTGTGCATGTGCACATTTGAATAATGTCGGGCTATAATCGGGTTCGGGCTTAAAAAAAGCTTTGTGGGGCTCCGGCCGAATTCTGTCGGGCTCAGGCCCTATCTAATCATTTTGATTGTCATAGACTAGGGATGTAACGGTTTCAGAATTTCACAGTACGATAATACCTCGGTATGAATGGCACGATACGGTATTGAATTATTTTAATTATTGAATAATTTACAGGAAAAACAAAACTAATGAAAATACCCCCAAAAAAGTGCCAAAAGTGTTTATTTACCTTAGCACAGAACATATCAATGACATACAAATTAGCCATCTATCTGTAAGTTTTAAAACAGGAACATCAATTTTTCAATTTTAATAACAAAAAACTATTAAACCACATAAAAGAAATATAGTTTCAATTTAGTATTGTTGAAAACTCATCACATACAACATTCAATCACTCACTCACTTAGATAGAGATGGGTTTTGTAAGGAAAATTATCATATAACTATAATCTGGTAAAAGCTGAGATCTCTGGGCATGTCCCCTGCAACAGAAAAAACACTCTCATTTGGGACTGAGGTTTCTGGGACAGAGATATGACTTGGCCCAGGTTGACAGCAGTGGGTAACGTTGTGCTATGTCTTTCCACCACTTGAGAGGACAAGCCATAAGTGAGATAGAGGTCTCTTTGCAGTACAAGTCAATGTCTGCATCAATCTAACAAGTGTGCTGTGTTCTGCAGTCCCCATGACTGTTTTTAGTCGTATTCCCCGACTTATATTTCACCACAGTCTGGCAGTGCTTGCATACTGTTTTTTTCTTTGTCTGTCACCTTTTCTACTTTTTCGTATCTTTTCAAAAAGAAACCGAAATGCTTCCACACATCTGATTTAAAACCCGCTTTAGGTTCGATCATTTCCAGCTCTTTTTCTTCCCCGCTACTAGCAACACACTCCATTTCCGCATTACTGGATCTGTAGTGACAATAGACCGCAAAGGATGATGGCCACGCCTAGGCTGATGGGAATTGTAGTTCCCGCTACCTCCCGTTTGCTTCATTCGCCTGAGCAAACTTTTCTCATAAATATAGTTTAATTGAGTCATGCGCCTACGGTAATATTGAAAAAAATTACTATTGCAGTATGACGGTATTTACAATATTGTTACACCCCTATCATAGACCAATAATTTTCTTTTAGAAACATAAAAAATCTTTAGGATATGTTGAGAATCCAAGACACGGGTTTTGCTGAGCATTCAGATATGCTGGTCAGCGTCAGCCGAACATTCTGAATCATCATCATTTTGCAGTATCTAGAGGAGTAAGATGCTCTGTCATCTCTCATGACTGAATCAGAGCAGAGGATGACAGTGATTTCTCTCGGAGATCTTGTCCTGGATGAACTCACCACCGTGTAGACAGCCGAGTACATGCTGAGCGCAGAGTCCTTCGATGGGAAGGATTTGCGTGCGGAGGCGATGAGGTATGGGTTGCCGGTACAGGCGCGGCGCTCTGTGATGTACTGCATTGGGGAATGACAGCCCAGTGCTGTGTAGTTCGGCCGACATGTAGACAGGAAGTGAGGCGTCTGGTTTCCTGTCACTACCTGCCCTGCATTAGCAAAGATGGTGGTGGTGAAGAGGCCAAAGGAATAAACACCTGAGAGGAAGAGGAGGGATTTGATTATCTCATGTTACTACTGTACTAGACTTTCTGGAATATTTGATTCTGATTGGTTAGTTGTGACATTGTAAGGTATTTTATACTTGGATAACAACTGCTGAATTTAATCTATAATCATCTTGACTGTCAGTGAATACATTCACATTTAAATACATAAAGTTGATGTCAAAATTAAAAGCAAGGCAAGGAATTTTTCACACCATGTCTGATAATATTTTTTCTTGTGGAGAAAGTCTTATTTGTTTTATTTTGGCTAGAATAAAAGCAGTTTATATATAAAAAAAAATTTAAAAAAAACATTGTGATGTCAATATTATTATCCCCCTTAAGCAATTTTTATTTTTTGATTGTCTACAGAACAAACCATCACTATACAGTACAATGACTTGCCTAATTACTCTGACTTGCCTAATTAACCAAGTTACGCCTTTACATGTCACTTTAAGCTAAATACTAGCATCTTAAAAATCTCTAGTAATATATTATTTACTGTCATCATAACAAAGATAATATAAATCAGTTATTAGAAATGAGTTATTAAAACTGTTATGTTTAGAAATGTGTTGAAAAAAACTTCTCTCCGTTAAACAGAAATTGGGCAAAAATATACGGGAGGGTGGGGGTGGGGTTGTGGGGAGGGGAGTTTAGTTATAATAATTCAGGAGGTCTTATAATTCTGACTTCAACTGTTATATATAAAATGTATATAATATAAATAATATGTATAATATTTAGGTTAGTGTATGCTCCATTCAGCCATTTTCTGCAATAATGGATGTACTTTACTCACAAGCCTTCTCTGCCAAAAATACTTGGATTTTTTTGTATTTTTTCTAGTTCAAATATCTAAAAATTCTTAAATCAAGTTTTCTAGACAAGGAAAATAAACTAATTTTAAGAAAGAATATCCAATAACCCTAAAATTCTGAACAGTAGTGTACTAACACACACTCACACATACACTGCCAGACAAACGTCTTGTCGCCTATCAAGGTTTTAAGAACAGCAAATAATAACTGGACTTCTAGTTGATCATTTGGTATCAGAAGTGGCTTATATGACAGGCAAAGGCCTCCAGATTACACTTATATTACCAAAATAAAATATGATCATGCCTTGATTTTTAATGATTTAATTAGGACAGTAAGGCCAGACTTAGCTTAGACAAAAGTCTTGTTGCATAACAGAAATAATGTACAGTATACAATATAAAGTCATGGTGCAGTGGAGAAAGAATGAATATTGTGTTTGACTCCCATGAGCTTGGAGGACTCAAATAACTTATTAATAAAGTCATCAGAAACGACAAAGAAAGCTTTCCTGCAGGACTCCCAGAGTTTATCAAGATTATTTGGATTCATCTTCAATGCCTCCTCCATCTTACATTAGACATGCTCAATAATGTTCATGTCTGGGGACTTGACTGATTTCTGTGAGAATCTTGGGTCCATGCTGGTTCCAATAGGCCTTCTGCAGTATTTGTGATGATTGGGATGCAGTTCAACAGATGATTCATCAGAAAAATCGACCTTTCCAAATGATCGACTAGAAGTAATTATTTGTTGCTCCTACAACTGTGATCAAGGACAAGACTTTTGTCAGATAGTGTACACACAGACCAGTTATTAAAATGCCAAAGGATTTGAAATAATACAGGATAGCAAAAGTTGGATGCTGAGTGTCCAAAAGATCAACAGCATGAATATAAAGTCTAAGAATTAAGAAGAATCGCTTACCGAGGAAGCGGACGATACGTCTGAGCAGCGGATTGAAATAGCAGCAGTCAGCTGTAACGATTGTCTTCTCCTGCGAGGCCTCAGGTTTAGTGAAGAAAGATGCCAGCTCTCCCAGCAGAATCTGCACACACACACACACACACACACACACACACACACACACACACACACACACACACACACACACACACACACACACACACACACACACACACACACACACTCAAATGAGATTTCTCAGGTGCATATGGCTTACTGAGAACAGAACTCGGGGGAACCGCAATATTTATTTTCCTTAAACTGATTAAACGGATTGGCAAACATATGAGGCAGCATTTGTCATTGTCAAGATTTGCTCGTGTTTCAATTCAAGGGTTTACGAGAAATTTACCATAAAGATAACATCTCATTTTCAATCCCATGAATATATAAGTGACAAATCCAGCATCACAGCTGAGACATGTTAGAAATATGTTCAATATGCACTATTATGGGGCGGCATTCATAAAAGATGAATCCACACAGATGGGAAAGCAACACCACACGCTAACTGAAGGGGGCAACTATAAAGAAAAGATAGTTTTTAACTCTAATGTAAAATAAAGCAATAAGCTTTATTTTAGTCAATAATAGTTTAATGATGTCAGAGGTGTATGTTTAAAGAGTAACAGCTTCTAGCTCAGATTTAAGCATCCAACTATTCATTTTACAAATTTCTGAAGTTATTAAAAATGCACCATAGATTAAAGCTGGTGTACACTGTAAAATATTCTGGACTCCACACAATCGATTATTGTGTTGGGACAACATGAAGGAATTAAGTTAACTTATTTATTTATTTTATTTGTTTATCAAATTTAAGTGGATTGAACATAAAACAATTAGGCTGTTCCTCTCCAAAACTCAAGAATTGAGTTGTTTAAGTTATTTTAAGTAAGTAGTTCGAACAAACATAATTTTAAAGTCTAAATGGTTATTTTTTTCTGTTTTGACAATGGTTTTCAGTAAAGAATTCGTTAAAATTGCCATAAGGATTAGCCATCAAGAATATTGTGTACACTTACATATTTTTGTTTCTACAAATAAAATAAATAATTAATTCATAACAACATTCATCACAAGTTTATTTGCTAATCTGACATTATAAGATTATTTGTTTTCAGGGATCATTTCTATGACTTTCCTGTTTTTTTTCAGCATGTTTCTTGTGCCAGTTGATTTTCTTTTCATAAGTAATATAGCAGCGAAATAATTTTTTCGGTAGCACTTTCAAATAATGGTCCATTACTTAAGGTATTTACTAAAATGAACAAATTATTAATGATACATTTATTACAGTATTTATTTATCTTTTATTCAACCCTTTAACTGCCCCACCAAAAACAAAACAAACAAATTTGGATTGCTTTGTTTAAACTCCTAATGTCGCTAGTTAACACACTCAATTCTTTTTTTTTTTCAACACATCCCATAATTTAAAAAATATCAACCTCTACCAAATGGTTAATATGTCAGTTTATGGTAACCGACCTTAATACATACGTATACTACGAAAAAACAGAAAATATAAAGTGTGATTTATTTAAAAACAATCAAAATTAAACATTCTGAATACTAAATCACCTTTATTTTTTGAAGTATGCTGTGAAATATTTCAGATTCTCATTTAACATGCTTTCTTGCCTTTTGTTTTATACAATAAAACCAAAATCAAGTGTAGTAGTGCAACAGAATTATGCTTGTTTGATTTTCTTTGTAAACCAACAATGCTGTGAGTAAGCCATTACTTAAAATAGTCATTCTTTAAACTACTTTAAAAGTCATTATTTAAAACAGTCAAAATATGGTCAACCATTTGGTAGAGTGGGCAGTTAAAGGCTTAATAACATTAGTTCATGGTAACTCACAGTGCATTAACAAATGTTAACAAGAACAACTTTGGATTTGAATAATGCATTAGTTAATGTTGATCTCACTATTAATAAATGCCTAAACTAACATTAACAAATGGAGCATTATTCTAAGGTGTTGCCTTTGTTTCAAATATGTTAATTTAAACATGAAAACATATACATCCTATTCAAGTCTGCATCATCACACATTATTACATAATTTGTTTTTAAGACAATCTTTTCAATTTGAATAAATTAAATCCCATGCAAGTTTAATTATCACATACAATTAAATAATAATATTTAATATTAATAGCAATATAAACAAAAATGAAAATATATTTATATCTAACATTATATTGTTTATCAACACAAATTAACCCTGATTCTAACTTCAAAAATTATAACTTCAGGAAAACTTGACTCTCATTTTTGGATTTCTATCTTCGATTTGATATTTCAATCATCTACTATACTTTATACCCTTATTCATTTTAATCTGAATAAGTTTTCATCTGAAATGACATGCTCAACTCAGGCTCATTCTGAAAACGCACCCCTATATACATTTCTAGAGAGCGGAAAATATGTCCCAGGAGTTGTTTTTTTTTTTTTTACAGTTTTTGTTTTCGCAAATTCACCAGAGGCCGCTGTGTACGCTTTTTCAGATCTCAAATTAATCTTGTGAGTGCCATTCGCACCTGCTGTTACCCTGTATATCCTGTATATAGAGGCCGCTGTCGACTGATTGACTGACTGACTGACTTACTGATCGACTGACTCACCCTCCTCCTTCCCTAAACCCAACTGATAGTGTTTTCAAAAGCACCAGTTGACCCGCCCATCCACTTCCCTAATCCCAACCGATAGTCTTTTCAAAAGCACCAGTTGACCCGCTTATCCACTTCCCTAACCCCAACCGACGGTGTTTTCAAAAGCAATTTAGAAAAAGAAAAACCCTCGCGGCAGCCTGACTTTTACCACATTTTTAGATTTTACCACACTCTCACCCTGTTATTTACTTTTTTATTTTATTTTTTGGCTTTTAGTTTTGTTTAATTTGCTTTCTGGAACTGTTCTTCAGGAAACTCCAACCCTGTTGTCGCGGTCAACTCCACTCCACATCAAAAGTCCGCCGATGTACGCAGCGAGCCACTGGACAAACTGGGAAAAGTGAGAAAGCTGTCAAAAACAGAGGTAAGCACAAAAAGGAATGGCGTCATACCACCCCGTATTGTTCGTTTTAAGGATGAAATGCAGCTATACGTATCTCTGGCTACATAATTCGCAATCTCCAGAAATGTATACAGGGCTTCATTTTCATAATGAGCCTATATATGTTGCAACATACTCATCATAGGTGCTGTGATTTCAAGTTAATAATTACATATACAGCAATTGCATTTAATGCATTCAAAACAAATTATATCAATATCAAGAAACCAACATTAAAGCCTGAGACGGAAAATGCTCTCTTCAATGCAGAAGCAGACAAGCAAAACACTACTACATTTAGTGAGGCACAGTTTGCCATGGCGTTCAGTGTCTGAGTTAGTTACACTTGTGAAAGGTTTGTGTGTTATCTCAGACAGCAGAAGTGTGGTGCTTGATCTCCCAATGAGACACCTTTTATATGTTACTTAACCTAAACGAAAAGTCTTTAAACTGTTTAACCTCAACGGACATGAAGATCCAGGTCAGCATGTACCTGCTGTTCATCCGCTGTCTAATGGCTAATTTTTATGAGTTCACGAATGCCGCTCTCACTACAAGGGAAAAATGTAAATTACTCACAGACATAAAAGCCTGAATTTCCGAGTAACCTTCAAATGTTTAGTGATGCCGAATGATATTTTGTGGGGCACATTGTGGCGTTTGAGGGCTCTTGTATTGCATATATAATAGAGAAGGTGAAATTAGACAGACAGAGGAAGAGAAAGAGGGAGAGAGAATGAATATTTCACTAGAACATCATCCTTGACATATTGGAGAGCTCTGAAGCTGCAGTGTTGAAGCCGTACTGATACTGGCATCCATTATGCTTTCAAATCCTTAACGCACATCACGATTATAACACATCTGCTCTCAAGAGTTTCAAAACTCCCGGAAAACTGTCACACGCAAATACATAAAACATTCAGAGGTCGCTGAAAGCACAAGTGTCGAACTTTAAAGGAGCTCAAAAAGCACTTTTTTTAAGAGAGTTCAGTCGCAGACACATTAGGGCTGTTTTTTGCTGGTAGTTCCTACAATAAAATAAAGCAGAGTAAAAACTGAGTATCGAGTGAATAAAGCGTATGTCATTTATTTATTCTCATGTCGCTCCAAACTGATATGACTATTCTCATACTAATCTAAGGGTGCTTTTACACCTACACTTTTGTTTCGGAACCTGTCTAATTTGCCCAGTTAGCACGGTTCATTTGGCATATGTGAACAGGACAATCCCGCTCTGTTCCGCACCAAAGTAATCGCTCCGAGATCGCTTGAATGAGGTGGTCTCGACTCGATTGAAACGAACCCTGGAGCGGTTCGATTGCCGTGAGAAAGCGATCCGATCTGAGCGCGGTTATATCACAGTGTTTTATGGATATGTAATAGGCTTATGGCTATATGAAGAGAGAATTATGAGTATGGCAGGAAGTTTCGCGAGTCTCCGGATGCCCGCAAACGAGTGATGATCTCCCGATAATCTCGCGTCTCCCTCCCGGTTCTCTCTGAAATTTAAATTCTCTCTGAATTTATTTTAGGTTTTAGTATACTGTACACAGTGGTGGAAAGAGTATTGAAAAATCATACTTGGGTAAAAGTATCATTACTTCCCCAAAAACGTAACGCGAGTGGAGTAAAAGTATCTGTTGTAAATTTTACTCAAAGTATGAGTAAAAAGCAGCCCTTTTAAAAGTACTCAGGAGTAGTGAGTATTACGTTGTGAAAGCTGATGCGTTTACATGTAATTTGTGGATGTGTGTAAACGTAACATTCTGTAGTGCATTTAGTTATTGCCCAGCAGGCACACAACGTCATAAGACATTAATATTAGGTTAAATTGAGGTCGTGATGTCAGATGACCAAAATTCAATGTCTAGTTAGCGTTTAAGGACAACGTTATTTTGATGTCCAACAATGACCTCAAATGACGTTGATATTTGGTTAATTTTAGTTTGTGTTAGAATGTGACCAAAATTCAACGTCAAGCCAACATCTTAAACCAACGTCATATCGACAA